ATTGAATTTCTTTCCATGTCCTTCCCCTTTCGTACATTGTCAGGAGCACCACGTCTTGGCGTCCTTAAGGACGCCAAGACCATGGCTTTAGTGAGAGAATGGCTTGGCGCGCTCCTGCCCCTGATAAAAATGGGTATGTCAGACCACACACCAACCAAACCACGGCTTGGCGTCCTTCTGGACCGGACCGCGATGGGCACAGCTTTTGGCAGGATCACCGCTTGGCGTGGTATGTCTCTCGTCCTCTTCCCACCTCGATCGATGGAAGCTATAAACACCACACGCGATGACTGTCAAATCATGTATGCTAACCAAATCGCACAAAACACCAAAAGGTGAAAATGCAAAATTACAAAACTGCGAAAATTGCCTTTTCACACGAGTGCAGATATGCAAGCCCAGCCTTGCCAGTTAGCGCTGGGCATTATTAAGCTTTAACTGCCAAAAGGTGGGCCATAAATGATGTCATAGATGGAGGACTCTCAGCGTCAACCCTCTGCCCTAGCAACATGAGTTGAGGTTAAGCATAGACCTACCCAATCTGAGGCCATTTTCAGGGAAATACCAGATGCCGTTTTTAGAGGAAGTATTTTCTATTCTCTAGATCAGCATGGCCTGATCATGCTCGGTGCCATTCCTAGAGGAAATATTCTCCTTTATTTAGAATGTCATTGCCTGTGCTTACGAAACGATGGCCTTGTCAACTGGTCCAGTATATGTTTTCCCTCTTCTTGTGTTGCTAGGAGCACGCAAAGTCGATCCCACCAAAAGCTGTGCTCATCGTTGATTGATTGATTAGATTGATTGATTGATTGATTGATTGATTGATTGATTGATTGATTGATTGAATCAGCTACCCTGACCTCTCCCTCATCGGGATATGCAGGCTACCACTATTACATCTACTCTCATCTATCCTTTCTAGTCTAATTACATGCACGATCTTAATGCCTCGTCAGGGCCTGTGGCTGATCTACTCTAGTTGTCTCTGCCTTGGAATCTTTCCGAGTGCTGTGCTCATCGCGGTCCGGACCAGAAGGGCGCCAAGCCGTGATTTGGTTGGTTTGCGTGGCCTGACGTGCATGTGTGGAAAAGCGGTCTAGGCATTTGCTTTCATGAGCCATTTCCTCACAAGAGGATTCTCCCGAGAGGATTCTTGTCACAGAAGAGGCTTTCTAAATAAATACTCTTTAATGGCCAAACTTCACAATATTTAAAAGCTGTTAAAAAATCCATGTGTTCTAGCATCTGACAAAGGCCTTCGTATCTCAGATAGTAATACAAGAGAATGCCCTATGTGAAAACTTGGGGACTTGAGAACTCTCACTCGAATCGAGTAACTTCATGTGTCTAAAAATATCTCAAGCCGAGCTAACTGAGTCGCACAGCAACTTAAGAGAATCATTTTATTCCTACAGACCTCCTGTAAGTGTTTTCTCAGGATCTTGGCTGAATACAAACGATGATCCGGCGATCTGGCGATCTGGCGTGGCTGGTACGGACCCACATAGTTAACCTTGGATCCCTATACATCACCTGCGAGGGTAAATTCTTTTCCGCCGTTTTCGGGTAGCGAGAGAAGATGGAACAAACACGGTTCACTTGGTTCAGAAGAAAGCAACTACAGACAGACAGTCAGTACTCATTTCTAACAGGTCAAAGCCTGCGGAACAAGTAGCAAAAAAAGCGAGGACGCAAGATTAACCTAGAAACTATCTACAAATGTAACAGCGGGCATGGGTTGGGGAGTGCACTGGTTTGCCTGCCACGGGGCCTGCTGAGGTTTGTATTCACAGGCTACTTCGGTCAAAAGTCATAGACCGGTGAAGGGCCTGTGGCTGCTGCTCTGTGTTTGTAATAGGTATAGGTCAGCCGGCACAGGTCAGCCGACACAGGTTAAACTGACCTATCTGAGTATCTGTACCAGCTCACATAAGCACCTTGATATGGATTAGTCAACACCTACCTACCGTAGGACAACCGGTGGCGCTGGCACCAGACTTGCCCTTCAATTGTTCCTCAAAGAGGAATATAAACTAGTTCCTGAGCAAGTGTCAGAA